ATTGAGAGAAATGCACATTACTCAGAGATCCTGATTTTAGAGCTGGTCATACTTGGATCATCTTCCTTTGGGAAGGAGATCAAGTGCATTTTTAGTTGTAGATGGCGTGGGTTCTTCATTTTAGTAAGAACATCTTAAAAATATCTCGTTTATTGAGGTGAAATTCCCGTAACATTAATCATGTAAAAATGTACAATTCAGTGGCGGGTAGCGCATTTGCAATGCTGTGCAACCATCATTTCCATCAGATAGCCAGAGCGTTTTGAAAGCGCGTACATGAGCAAAGAAGGTCCGCGTGGATGCTGGGCAGCCATGGGGGGACGTGCAGGGTGTCTGCCCAGCACCCCTTGCTTCGGGGGACAACTCTGCTCCTACTCCCTGGGGCGCTGGCTGGATCTGTCCATATGAGGGCCACCTCCTGCACTCACTTATGGGGGTGGGCATGTGACTCATGCTGTCCCTACTGTTTGTAGAACCTGGGTCACGGTGGGCTTGTGACCAAGGCCAGAACAACTGAAGTGACCCTTGGAACTCTTCTGCTGGGGATGGCCCCTTGAGTGAGGGTAACGAAAAACAAAACAGAACAGTTACGTGTCTCAGACCTTGAGGCTCGAGATGGGGGAGGGGTTGTTGCTAAAGGACGTGGAGCTTCATGTCCTAGAAGCATTGGGGTGCTTCCTGAGGGGAAAGAAAACATTGTTCTTCCACTGGGATTCTGAACTGGGAGAAGGTTCGCCTGAGACTGCTGGCCACCATCTTGGAGTCTGACTCAAGGAGGAGAGAAAGTGCCAACACAGTGGGGAGCAGGCAAGCGTGATGGAGACAGCGAGCTCAGGAGGTGGCATTTGAGTCCCCGGATTTACCTATTCCTGACTCTCCAACCCTGGGCTTCCCAATTGTCTAAACTCTAAACTACTGAATCCCTTTGTTTAAAATCTAGTTTAGGCTGGGATTCTGTCCCATGTGACTGAGAGTCTTGACGAATATAACAAGCCACATGGAAGGTAGGAGGAAGTGTCACCATTTGCTATCGATGAAGAACCTACGTGGATAGTGGCCTGTGATGCAGCTGTCCTGGTGGGTGTGACAAGCAGTGGGTATGAAGATGACCCAAGTGGTGAGTCACTGTGGGGTTGAAATCACCCAGCAGGATGGTAGGTGAGCCAGGTCCGGACATCAGGGAGGGGGTGCAGCAAAGGCAGGTGGCATAGTTTCAGAAGCTGACTGATGGAGAGGACATGAGGTCTAGCAGAGTGTGGGGGGCCAAGGGTAGAGTCTCATCTGAGTCAGAGGTGTGGGAACGGAGCCTTCTGCTGGAGTCGCCGGGTGGAAGATGTTAGAGGAACACGTTGTCGGTAAAGGAGCTGGTGCTGCTTTTGCTAAATGTGTCTGGTTCTCCCTGCTTTGAGATCTGTGGTAGTGTTTACTTCCTGGATCCTGAGAGCTGAATGGAGCTGTAGGACTGGTTCCGGCCACTGAGGGACAGACGGCTGTGTCAGTGTGATACCCTCCTGTGCTCTCCTGGCGATGGTGGCTCTTCTGTCAGCCGGGGTCCCAGAATATTCCATGAGCTCTACCCCTCTGCAGACTTGCCACAGACATGTAACGGGAGCAGGAAAAAGTTACGGTTTTTTATATTTGATAGACTTAATTTATAGTTGTGCCATGCTCAATTTTTTTTATTGTGGTAAAATATGTGTAACATAAAATTGCCATCTTAGCCATTTGTAAGTGTAGAGTTCAGAGGCAGTAAGTACACTCGCATATTGTGCAACCATCACCACCATCCACCTCCAGAACTCTTTTCCATCTTTCCAAACTGAAGCTCTGTGCCCACTAAACATGACCTTCCCACTCCTCACACCCATTCCCCAGAGCCCAGTCCCTGGCAGCTACTATTCTACTCTGTCTCTATGAATGTGACTACTCCAGGTACCTCATGTATGTGGAATCACACAATATTTGTCCTTTTGTGTCTGACTTATTTCACTTAGCAGACTGTCTTCAAGGTTTATCCGTGTTGCAGCAGCTTTCAGAATTTCCTTCCCTTTTAAAGGCTGAATAATATTCCACCGTATGTATACACCACATTTTATTTATCTGTTCATCTATTCATGAACATACATCTGGGCTGTCTTCACCTTTTGGCTATTGCAAATAATACTGCTATGAACGTTGGTGTACAAATAGCAGAGACTCTGAGAGTCTCCGCTCTCAGTTCCTTGGGTCTATATGCAGAAATGGAATTGCTAGATCATATGGTATTTCTACGTTTAATCTTTATGAGGAACCACCATGCTGTTTTCCACAGAACTTCTGTGATTTTAAGTCACGAAAATTTGGGGTTGTTTGCTATTGCAGCATAACCTAGCATGTCCTGACTGATACTGCCCCTCGATCCAGATAATCTAGGATCAACCAGGATTCTGGTCAGACCACAGTGGAATGGACAGAAGTGAGGGGGTCTAGGAGCCCAAAGCCTAAATCAATCGGAGCCAGACCCAGTGTGATGTGTGGCACAGAGGGCCCAGTAGGGTTAGCGAGCACTGATATGCCTCTTCTTGGGACCACCTGGAGGGGCCTTCTCATGCTGAAGACATCAGGGCCAGGCTCTGGAACCAGCCCTGTAGCCACATGGTGGCTTCTTACTGGACACAAACCCCCTCTAACATGGTCAACTTGGGCCTCTTGACCCTAGCAACACAGATATCCAAGGTCACACACATTATGGGCTCCCAATGACTTCATCATAAATAGTTCTACTCAGTAGAAACTTACATTTGCCCTTCTTGATCCTGAGAATGTCAGCTTGTGGAGAGCAACTATAATGTTTTAAAAGTGCGATGTGGTCATTTCAGGGTCAGATGAACCAGGCATTGAATCCTGGTTCTGTGACTTCCCCAACTGTGTGGCTTTGACTAAGCCTCAGTTTCTTCATCTGTAGAGTGAGGATAATATAAACTACCACACAGGTTTGGCACAGAAATGCGCCAAGTCCGGTGCCTGGCACGCAGGAGGCACTCAGGAAACAGTCGCTGCTATTTGGGGGCAGTATTATATAAGCCCTTGAGGAAGGCAGAGGTATGGCACCATCTTTCTAAACATGGTCTTCCCCTTAGCCACGCTTTACAGTATTTGCGGATGCCTATCTTGGTGTGGAAAGCAAAGTGGCAAGGAGCCGGCGATGCATGCATTCATTCAACAAATGTTTATTGAGAACCTACTGGGCGCCAAGTGCCAAGCTACAGATGTGGTGCTTGTCCTCATGGGAGAAACAGCACGAGTCTCTGGAACTGGACAGGTGGAATCCACGGGCAGCAGGGCCTGTCATCAGCGGCATGGGGTGACCACTTGAGTGAGGGTGACACTGAAAAAGGCCAGGACGATTGTGTGGAGTGGCCTCTGACCTTGAGGCTGGGGAGTGGGGAAGACTGGAGGATCTGGGAGCATTAGGGAGCTTCCAGAAGGAAAACCACTCAGATGAAAGTTGGGCTCCATGTCTCAAAGAGTTAGGTAACTCCGTTCCTATGCCCGAGGGGTGAAGCTGGTGGGGGAGAAGGGAAAACAGGACTGCTTTCAGCACTGAGGGCCTGAGTGCCCATCTTCGGGGGCCCCCGCCCACAAGTGGGATGGTGGGTGCCTGGGGAAGGGAGCACAACATGTCCTGGGTCAGAGAGCTGACGGCACTGCCATGTAGCTGAAGTGCTAGGTGGACTGGGGGTGCACAGTAGAAGAGGCTGGTGGAGGTACAGGCAGAAGTGGAGAGTCAGGCTGTGGGGATCTGGGGGCCCAGCACCAAGCCCTAGAGGTAGCAGTTGGGGAAGTGATGAGCAGAGGGTGGCTGTGCTGACAGAAGTAGACAGAGATGCCCCAAGTCAGAAACCTGGAGCCCAGAGAACTCTCTGGGAAATGAGAACAACCCCCGCGGGAAAGGGGTGAGTAAGCGTGAGGGTGGAGTGTAGGTGTGCACAGAATCTTAGAGCTGGAAGGGATCTTCAATGTCATTTAGTTCAACCTCCCACCCCATGAGGTCTTTCAGTCTTCCACTGTCCAACTGAGGGCACTCAACTCTACTTGGACACTTCAAGGTACGGGGAGCTCACTCCCTCTAAGGGGACTCATCCTATAGAGCGTCCGGGACGGCCTGGATGGACCTGGCGCCTCGACCTTGGCCCTGTCGAGTGGGCTGGCCTCCATTCGGCGGCGGCACCTGGCGGGGGTGGCGGGTCGGGTGGGGATTGCGACGCGGATGGGCCGGCGCTGCTGTCCCCAGCCCCAGTGCTGAGGCAGGCAGAGTGCAGTGGGCTCTGGTGGAGGTCGGGAGAACTGCAGGGTGAAGGCCGCCGGGGGCTCCGCGGGCTGCTGGGGGGAGGCACTTGACACCGGCCCGGGGAGAGGAGGGGCCGCTGTCCCTGCGGCCAGTGCTGGATGCGGGGACCCAGCGCAGAGGCAGCGCCAGGTAGCGGGGCGCCCCGCGGGGGGTGGTGCGGAGGAGGGCTGCAGCAAGGCCCCCGGGCGGAGTGGCCCGGAGCGCGGCCGCGGCGGGGTGCCCAGGCCCAGCGCAGGGTCGGGGCACTGCGGGGTCCGGCCCTCCGTCTCGCAGCGTGCGGAGACCCCCGGCGGGCCCGCAGGGGCCGGGAAGTAGGGCCGAGGGCGCTAGGACCGGCCGCGCGCCCAGGCCGCTACCGCCGCGGCGCCCCGGGGCCCCCCAGTCGGCGCTGCCTCCCGGGCCGGCTCCGCAGCGCCGGGGCCGGGGCCAGCGCGGCCGCGGGGGGCGAGCAGCGGGCGGAGGCCTGGGCCCGCGGGCGGCCGGAGGGAGGGAAGGAGGAAGGCGGAGAGAAGGGGTGGGAGGGGGGGACCCGGCAGAGGAGGCGGAGAGAGGGAGCGCGACAGCGAGCGGAGGGAGGGAGCGAGCGAGGCAGGCAGGCGGGCCGGGAGGGAGGGAGGGCGCGCGGGCGGCGGCGGCGGCGGCGAGAGCAGAGGACGAGCCGGGACGCGGCGCCGCGGCACCAGGGCGCGCAGCCGGGCCGGCCCGATCCCACCGGCCACACGGTAATGAGCGCCGCTGCTGGCGGCCCGGGAGGCCGGCCCGGAGGCGGGCAGGGAGGAGGGGAGGCCGGGCGGGGGGCACGGCGGCGGGCAGTGCCCGGCTCGGGGCACACTCCCGGACCCCTGCAACTCGGCGCCGGGCGCTCGCGGGGCCAGGGCTGCGGGCGGGGACGGCGGGCCGGGCTGGCCAGGGCGGCGCGGGGGATTTGAGGGTTTGTTTATGTCCCCGCGGGCTCGGCAGGCGCCCCCTCCCGTCCCGCCCGCTCCCGGCGCTGAGCCCCCTCCCCGCCCCCGCCCGGCTCCGGGCTCAAGTTCAAGTCTATACAATGCCGCGGGGGGCCCCCCTCCACCGCCGGCCTCAGCCGTGGTGCCCGGCTCGGCGCTGCCGCAGGGGCCCCGGCCTGGCCGCCCCCGCCTTCCGGGCCCTGCCCCCGCCCCGGGGCCCCGCCTGGGGCCTGCGGCCGGGGCTCTGGAGGGCGCGGACCCCGACCCGGAATGATCGGCTCCCGCCGCGGCCCGCAGGGAGCGGGGGAGGGGGCGGGGGCCGAGCCCCGCGCAGGCTCCGCGGCGGCGGCAGAAAATGGCAGCCTGGCACGACCCGGCCCCCCGCCCCTCCCCCCGGCTCCCGGCCCTCCTCGGCCCGGCGGGGCGGGGGACCCGGGAGGCCCCCGGGGGCGGGCCGAGGGGTGATCCGGGGGCCGGGCCGGGGAGCGCTGCGCAGCGATCCTCCTCCGGCCACCTGTGGCTGGGGGTGCGGGGTGCCAGCGGATCTGGGAGGGGCGGCGGGGGTGGGGAGAGTGCCACTTGGGGGGCACACCTCCCCGCGGAGGGCCGGGCGGCGCGCGGGGGGGGACGTCGTGCCTGGCTCCTCCCTGCCCCCGCCGCGGGCCGTGGGAGCCGGGGCGGCGGCGGCGGCGGCGGTGGCGGCGGTGGCGGCGGCGCCGCAGTGTGGGGGCGGGGCGGGGGCGGGCGAAGATCCCGGGCCGGGGCCCCCGGGGCCGGAAAACGCGGGGATGGGAGCTGCGGGCCAGGGCCAGGGCCAGGGCCGGGAGCGGCGCGAGTGGGAGCGCCCGGGGTCGCCCCCCGCAGCAGCACCCCCCGTCGTACACACTCACACGCACGCGGACACACTCACGCACACGCACCCCCGCTGGGCCGGTGCAGACGTGTCCTTGAAAGCTTCGCATCTGTACAGTGAAGGACGAGGCCTCGCAGAGGCTGCAGATCGGGGTCTTCGGCCCCGCGGCCCAGCACCCCAGGAGACCCCGAGCTTCGGAGCCGCAGGCGGCCGCGGTCCGTGTCCCGCCCTCACCCCGGCTCCCCTCCCCCAGGCCGCCCTGCCCTCCCTCCCCCTCGGCGCGCGGACCGAGCTGGCGTGGGTCCAGGGCCCGCCCCCGGCCTCCCCCAGCCCCCCATCGCTGGGGCCCGCGGCCCGCCGGCTGCCAAACTGCGTTTCGCTTTCCTGGAACCTCCCTTCTTGGTGGCACCCACTCCCCTCCCACCCCCTCTCTGTTATTTCCCACTTTTCTCTCCATCCCCACGTCCTTCCACCTCTCTCCACTGCAAAGCCAGTTGAGTAGGTGTTGCTGCCCTGGTTGGGGAATGGGGGGCTTGCTGAGTCTCGGGGGCTTTCTTCCCCTGCTCCTGAGGGGAGCCCCCTGTGGCTGCACCTTGACCCAAGATGGCGTCCAGCACCCAGCTGGGCAGCTCTGGCCTCAGGGCGGGGGAGGAAGGGCGGCGGGGGGCGGGAAGGGGGAGCCCAGAGCCACTCCACGCGTCCCCTCTCAAACCAGCAGGGACAGGAGCCTGGACGAGAAGCGCCCTCTGCCCTGTGACCCAGCTTGCCCCTCGCCGCCATGCCCAGAGACTGCCATCAGCATCCCTGGGGGACTGTTCGGTCTTCATGTTTCACCCTGGGCTGCCAGCGGCCGAACCGGCCTCCAGCCTCCTGGGCTGGCGGGCTGTGAAGGGATCCTGGGATCAGGTGCTGCTCGCCTGTGTCTCCTCCCTTCCAGGCAGATGGGACAGCTGCAGCCGGGGAAGCTTTTCTCCTTAGGCGTTGCTGGAGTGTGAGGACTGGCTTGTGGGATCTGGGGAGCCCAGCTGTCAGGCGGAGGGACCCTCTTTGGGCTTGTCCTCTCTGCTGGCAGGGGCTATCTTCTGGTGGTTTCCTGAGCTACCTGGCTTCGGGAGGCAGCGGTTGTCAGGAGTTCCTGCTAGGTTTCTGGGGCAAGGTGGTCCCCTTCCGCCTCCAGGTCCCGTTGAGGAGAGCCTGGTTGGGCTGTTTGACAGGCCACTCTGAGAACGCGTGAGTGTGCGTGCATGTGTGTGCGTGTGTGTACATGTGCTGCGCCCGGGCAGGGGCCGGCCAACTGTGCTTCGGCTCTGGCACCTGCCTGCCTCCCTCCCTTCCCCGGCCCCACTTCTTTGGGCCCTGGCTCCCTCTCTGCACTCTTGTCCAGCTGCTTGGTTCTTGTCTGCAGCTACTCCTCAAATGCATAGCCCCCAGCTCAGGCTGACCCAGGCTCTCTCCTTGTTTTCCACCCCAGGCACAGAGGGGCTGCAATAGGAGGCCGGCCTTAGAAAGGTGAATTCCTTCTAGAATCGAGGAGTGCCCGGTGCACAGTGCGAGGGCTGCCCCCCTAGCCCTGGAGAGGACACCGGACCGCACTGTGGCCATCTGACAGGGTGTCCGCAGACAGGATTCCTCTGTGGGGTGGGGGTTGGACTGGAGCTTGGAGGTCCGTTCCAACTTTGAAATTCTATGGCTCTGATTCTAGTGGTGGAATTTCAGACCCTGGAATGGGGGTGGGGTGGTCTGTTTTCACCACACAGCGGTAATCCGGAAGGGCTTCCAAGGAGAGGAGGTCTGAGAGAGCAAGGCCTCCTGGGGGATGGGGCTTTGAAAGAAAAGGGTGGTGTGAGGGGTGGGGGCCCTGCAGGGAGAGAGGTTTGTCTCAGGTGACTCCACAGAGAGTGTAAAAATACAGCCTCCCCGGTAAACCTTCACATGTGTGTGTCCTTCTGTAGGCTTCCATGTGTAAATCCGTGTGTGTATATAATTTCTGAGTTTTTTTTCCCCCCGAGTCCAATTCACAATATGCTCTCAAGTCCCTTGTGGATATTTTCCTATCACAGTCACACATCGCTGCCAATGGTCCTCTGAAAAAGGCTGCAAGAAATGCAGGACAAGCTATAAAATACTTGCCCAGAGTGACTTGGCCCCTGGGGAATTTACACTCTCCCCTGCTCCCGCTCTCTCCCATAAGCCTGTGGTCTCCACAGGACAAGGACCTTGACTTGGCTGCCTCTGGGTCCCCCATCAGACATTTAGCGGGACCTCCATGGGTGTCTGCTGAACGGCGGGGGAGCTTGCTACACATTTGTGATTTTGGTCCCTGTCCTCTCCCTAGCTGTGGCCAGGCGAGGCTTCTTTTGTTGGGAAGCATGTGGGGAACTCAGAGCAGTCTTAGCTGCTCCCCAATTGGTAAGTTAAGAATAGACCACTCACTCCCCATCACTGGGCCTGAAATGTTATCTTCAGTATCCAAGCCTTACAGTGTAGGGTTGAAAGAGAACTTTAAGTGCTGAGAGCACTTGGAGCTGGGTTGGGGGCTGTTTGGGTGTGGGGCCAGGCTGGTGTTGGGAATTCTACCCAGAGCCTGAGGCCAGAAGAGCTGATCCTGCGCCTTTCTCTGTTCCCTTCCTACTGCTTGTGTGGGCCTGGGGTCCCTGACTCCGACGGTGGTGTGTGGTGCAGCCCTTGGCAATTGGAGCCGCCACCTGCCCTTTGAGGCTGGGCATCTACGTGGGCCTACGTTTTGCTGCTCCTGAGGGCTTTCATGATAAACTAAGGTGCCAGATTCCTTTCCCCCCAAATCTTGAGGGCTTGTTTTCAGTCAGGTCTCTGACTATTTTTCCCTAAAAAAAAAAAAAGAAAGAAAAAACCAAAACCAAAACCAAATCTGAGACCCATGAAGTGTCAGAGATGTGTGTGTGTGTGTGTGTGTGTGTGTGTGTGTGTGTGAAGCCTGCCTCCACTTGGCTGAGTGTTGTGGGCAGGACAGGGTGTGGCACACGTGTGTCTGTGCAGACTTCTCTGTGCACGGTGTGCAGCCGCGTGGGGAGGGAGGTGACTTGCTTAGACATGAGTCCATTTCGAGGCAGCCGAAGTGAGGGCCCTGGAGTCAGCCACTTCCCTGCCTCGAGATCCGGGGCAGCTAACTTAGTGGCTCTGTGCCTCAGTTTCCTCACCTGTACCGTGGAAGTGAGACGTGGCTGTACTTAAGGTTGTGGTGAGAATTCCAGAGCATGGTGTGTGTCACTCCCTTAGCGAAGTGGCAGCGCGCGGTGTTTGGGCAGTGTGGGTGGACCGATGCTACAGGAAGTGTGCTCAGAAGCCTGGTCCACCGTCGTGCCTCTTTTGCACAGTCTTGGACAGCAGAGGAAAGGGCTGATGCTGATTGACAGAGCTTCAGAGGGGAGGGCTCCTCAGTGCCACTTGGCAGTTGGTTCCCGAGTGTAACGGATCACACTGCGAACAGGTTGTCTGTGTGCTCACCTTAAATCCCTCATGCTGTAGTTCCAGCTCTTTCTTCGGCCCCATGTTTGCTTGCTGAGCATTTCCTGTGGGCAAGGCCCTGTGCTCGGATTTGAGGGGACACAGAGTGAGTTAGGATGAGCCCAGCTAATTAATGACCACAGAGCGAAGTCACAGGAGAGGGAGAAATAAAGCGCTCGAAGGACAATGAGGTCACAACGAACTGAGGGGATCAGGGACAGCTTCTTGGAAGAGGTGGTACCTAAGATGGGCCTTAAAACACTGAGGTGGGGCTTCCAGGCTGAGGGGAGGAAGCCAGGCTGTGGGGGATGGGGTGGCTGGAGTGTGGAGGAGATGCTGGGGGGGGTGGGGGGAAAAGGGGAAGAGGGATGGAGTGGGGCCCTGGCTGTGCTGGGGGCCAGGCTGAGGCCGCACACTGGTTTGGGGAGAGCGGCCCCTGTGC